TCATCGATTGGTGAAGTGGGCTATAAAAACACTATTCTAGTCACTGCTAGGAGGATTCTCCTCCCAAGCCTAAGACTACTAATATATAATACATATTAACAAACCAAAAATAAAACATCAAAAACATTGAAGCACAACTACAGTGTCACGAAAGCACACGCTGCTTCCGGTCAACGCGGTCAAAGGGTCCACGTCATCCAGTCAACAGCCTTGTCATGTGTGTAGTCGGCGTCCACATCAGCGAAGTCAACTTCTTCAGCTTCTTGCTGGTCAACGCGATCTAAGCCACATCCTCCGGTCAGCAGCCCAGTCAGCATCCACATCAGTACCCCCCATCACATCAGCAGTCATCTTCATGGTCCACACGTCTCTTGATTTCAATACAAGCATGCATGCAGATCAATCTTCCCCACGTGATGGCTTGTATTCCATGCAATTTCCAAAAATGCTCTTTTCAGGATTTGATCCCTGGTCTTCCGGCTTCCTTCCATAGATCTCGACCATCACACCAGGTTTCCTTTCTTGAACATTTTGGTAGCATAAAATATATAAACACGTTACATCCTGGTTTGGAGGCCAGCATATAACGTTCCCAAAAATCAAATCAGTAGTATCCCTCCATGGGTTTCCAACTAGTATTAAAAAAGATTAACACTAATTGGTCCCCATGTACCCTTGACCGCGGGTATGCACGTACCGGATTTGAACACAATACCACCCCCCGGCAAGGGCAGGCAAGGGTACCTCATCTGCCGCAGGTACGGCGGGCCGGATTGACGTGCCTTTACCACATCCCCGGCAGGGTGGGCTAGGGTACCTCTTCTACCGTAGGTACATCGGGGGTGCCAACAACGCTGACACCTACGTATGAACAAAAAGAGAAATAAAGAAAGAAAATGGGTTACTAGCCTTTTGTGAGTGTTGAACCATGGTCCTCCTGTTTACACATTTGGACCACTTCCAACTAGACTAACACCCCAAACAAAAACAATCAACAAAAAGCAAACAACGAACATTTTTTTTTTTTTTTTTTTTTTTTTTTTTTTTTTAGAAGAAATTGCATTAAAACACACCAACCTTTAGTAAGTGTTGAACCGTGGACATCCTGTTTACACATTCAGGCCATGTCCAACTAGGCTACTAAACAATACAAGATTAAATCCAACAACAAAAAAAACTAAAACAAACTTAAACCGTGAGATATAGCAAAGTTGGCCATTAGTGGGTGTTGAACAATGGTCCTCCTGTTTACACATTCAGAGCATATCCAACATGACCAGCTTTACTACCTCACCCAAGATGGACAACGAAAAAAGATAACCATTTTTTTTTTTTTTTTTTTTTTTTTTTTTTTTTGGAAACAAAGATAAATCAAAGCACAAACAGATTTAGTAAACCAAATACACGGCAGTACATGCCTTACATGCAAGAAGGCAGTACGCACAAACACCAACTCCAAGTCTCATGCATTCCACCCATTCGGGTATAACCTGTACATCACCTGGAAAATGTTCTTGAGGATCATGGTAGAAGTACGGTCCACATCGGCAGCCATCTGATCAAAATAAAGAGCATTCCTTGTCTTCCATAAATGGAAAACCGAGGCCATGATAGCTAGAGCACCAATCTTGGATCGAGGCCGGGTTCCTCGAGAATCCCTATGATGCCATTTTATTGCTCCTTTGATAGAGGCCGTATTCCTTGCAATACCAACACCATCTCTTACACGTCCCAAACTTGTTTAGAGAACGGGCACATGAAGAAAAGTGGTTGATATCTTCCAGTGTAGCACCACAAAACGAGCAATGTTTGTCAATCTCCATGAAGATTACATTGCTTTTCGTGAGTAGCCTTCCATGTAAGCAAAGCCACGTACAAAAAGCAAATTTAGGAGGGACAAAGCTCTTCCAAATAAACCTCATGGCAAACTTTTTTGGGCTTTGTGGACGAATTGCTTCATACACGGCCGAAGTATTAATGCCATTCGGTCCATTCCAAGAGGCCAGTTTATTGATACAGTCACTAGTGGTTCCAAATCTGCTTACGAGAAGGTCCCTAACCTTCGCCAAACTACGCATGAGGGCGGACTCGTTTCTTCCCGGATTCCACGTCCAGAAGTCCACATTCCGTAAATAAAAGTCATGGACCCAACGAATCCATAACGTTTCTTTCCGGGTGTGGATATTCCAGAGTGTTTTTGTCATAAACGCATTGTTCCAATGTTTCAAATTTCGCAAGCCAAGTCCGCCCTCATCTTTTGGCCTGCAGATAACATCCCATGATACAAGAGCCCTTTTTCCACCCATAGGAATTTTCGGCATATAGAAATTATGCTTTCAATAACTGTGGGTGGTAGAGAAAACTCTTGCATCCAGTATGCTACCACACCTTGGATCACCTTGGCTATCAGTTCAAGCTTACCTGCATAAGATAAAGAAAATCCCTTCCAGGCAGATATATACTTGTTAATGGAATCAAAAAGAGGGGTGTAGCAAGATACCTTTAGCTTTTGAGCATCTAAAGGAACCCAAGGTAACGAACAGGCAAGGTGCCATTAGGGATGCGTGTGAAGCTAAGGTCATCACGCACCCCAGCACAAAACAGTTTCGATTTCGTAGCACTAATCGCTAGCCCTGAGGTCCCTTCGAGCTCATTCAACGCATTCATCATTATTCCCACCGAGCTTACATCTCCCCTGCAAAAAAGCATCAAGTCATCCGCAAAAGCCAAATGGCTTATGCGGAGGTTAGAACATCTTGGGTGGAACTTGAACATCGGGCTCGCAGTCTTGGCCTTCAACATTCTTGTGAAGTATTCCATGCATAACGTGAACAACATGGGGGACATGGGTCCCCTTGCCTTAATCCCCGCCTTCCATCAAACTTTCCATGCAAAGTACCATTAATGCTCACCGAGAAAGATGCTGCTTACACACTCCATGATCCATTCAGTGAAGATACTCGGAAACCCGAACCCATGCAGAACCTCCTTCAAGAAATCCCAGCTAACAGTGTCATAAGCCTTTCGGATATCCACCATTATCATGCACCTCGGGGATATTCTTTTTCTTGAATATCCCCTTATAAGTTCCTGAGCAAGCATAACATTATCAGACACGATCTCCCACCTACAAAAGCCCCTTGGGCTTGGTCCACAATGTCCGGCAGTACTCGTCCCATGCGTGCTGCAATTATCTTCGTTATCTTGTAAAAAACATTGCAGCACGCGATTGGTCTAAAATCCTCGACCCTTTGATCGTGCATCTTCTTGGGGATTAAGGCAATAACGGTATGATTCCATTGCTTCAACAGTTGCCCATTTCTGAAAAATTCCATCACTGCCGCTATGACCAGTGAACCAATCCGGTTCCAATTAACTTTGAAGAAAGCGGCAGTGTACCCGTCGGGCCCCGGAGCTTTGTCATTACCCATAGAGAATAAAGCTTCCTTTATTTCTTCTTTAGAGATTGGGGCCACAAGGTTCAAAGCTTGATCGGCAGAGACATTGGAGCCATGGCCAAAATATGTATTGTCCGTTCCATTCCTTTCTCTTGGGGTGCCAAATAAATCAGAGAAAAATTTTACAAACAAGCTGCCCACTTGATTGAGTGAAGTAGTTAGGTTCCCATCTTGATCAAGGATTGCAGCTAGAGTTGACGCTGCATTTCTTTTATTTATGAGGCTATGAAAATAGTGTGATCCCTTATCTGCCTCAACCAAGTGGACTGTATTCAATTTTTGCGCAAAGAACCGTCTTTCAGCCTCCATCAAGAACAAGGCCCTCTTCCGAAGATCATTAACATAAGCCCTCTCTTGTTCATTCGCGTTTAGGACATCCAACTCATCTTGCGCAACAGAGTAGGCTTCTTTCGCGACTCGGGTTCTCTCCGAGATGTGGCTGAACGCATTTCTGTTAAGAGTGCGAAGAGGTCCTTTAAGAGACTTAAGTTTCTTGGCCAGAATATACTGCTTCGATCCCTCCACATGCTCTCTCCACACATTTTCAAGAGTAACTTTGAAGTCCTGGTGTGTGAGCCACATGTTTAAAAATTTGAATGGCCTTTTTCCGTCACTTATAGCAATGGACGTAGTTATAACTACGGGACAGTGATCTGAATTGCATGCCAACAACTTGAAGTCTGCCATGCATGTTAACCCGTTGGCTCCCATCTATCATTGATCAGTACCCGATCCAGCTTGGCTTCCATATACCTATTTCTCCACGTAAAAAAATTTCCAGTAGAAGGGCAGTCCGTTAGATCCATGTTCGCACAGCAATTCTCCAAATCCTGAAGCTCATATCTAGTTGGTTCGTTTCCTCCCCTTCTTTCAGATGGTGATAACACTGTATTAAAGTCACCTGAGATTACCCATGGTTCAACAATCAATAGTCCAAGTGCTTCAATCTTCTCCCATAATTGCCTTCTCGCAACTACAGAAAAGAGGCCATAGACAAAAGTACAAAGAATCTTCTTCTGAGAAATCTTGCATAGAATGAGACAGTGGACATGTTGAGGTCCAGTCTCAAGGATTGAGCAGTCTACTAGCGCTGGGTTCCATGTAACAAGAATCCTTCCACCAACAGTATCATGGAAGTTGGTTGCAAGCTTCCATCCATTCTTTCGGTTTTTAACGAACAAGTCAGCTTTCTCAATCGACAATTTAGTTTCCAGAAGTGCAATAACAGATAGTTTATTGTTCCAAACGAAGTCCCAGACTTCTTTTTGTTTGAGGGTTGATTCAAACCCCTCACATTCCAAGTTCCGATCAACATTGAGCAACGGAGTGGGTGCTCGCCGACCACCGCCGCCAGCCACTTTGTTAATCCCAAGTGGCAGGGATGTCCGAGATGTTTTCTTTTGCTTCTTAGATTGCGGGGATCGTCTTCTTGCCCCAGCACCACACGAGAGGGCTCTATGGGTAAGGTGACAACATTTTCTTCTTCATTTTCTGCCTGTGGATCCGGATCAACTTCAGAGACAGTCTCAAGGTTGCATGGAGGGTTCAAGGCAGCTTCTGCCGCCTTCCTAGCCTTTCGGGCCTTTCTTCTAGCAGATTTTGACAAAGCAGCTTCTTCTTTGTCGTTACCGGCCTCCTCTTCAATTTCAGGAGGTGGTGGAGGGGATTGCACCTCAACTTGTGGAATTTCTGCGTCAGATGTCTCATTTGCGGCCTCATCTCCAATCTCAAGAGGTGGTGGAGGAGATTGCACCTCGACTTGTGGAGTTCCAAAAGGTTGTTGCAAAGGTGTAGCTACAATATCTTGCACTCCTGTACCATCTTCGACTACCACCAGTGCTGCCTCATCAGTTCTCTTTTCTGCCACATCCTCTTCGTCACCCACAACAGCCTCACACACATCCGTAGCTACAAGAGCTTGAGTCTCGGTATCACCATTCTCATTCCCATGCCCAGCAGCCACATTTCTTTCCCTTAGATTACATTCAACACGAGTCAAGGGGCATTTTCTGTTATGTGTCGGCCTCCCCCACACCGAGTGCAAAAGGGCACCCAGTTCTGATAAAAAAATATTCTGTTCAAAGCGTTGATCCGTCAGGCACCTCAATGGCGATGTGTTCCAGAGGCTCTAAGGAGCAGTCAACATCCACGAGCACCCTAGCAAAGCCTATTTTCCTCCCATCCAAAGTAGATTGATCCATGTACAGAGGTTTACCAATGGCAGCAGCGATTTTGCTCAAAGCCCCAGTGTTCCAACAAGGTTTCGGCAGTGAGGGGAGTCTAACCCACATTGGAAGGAACCGGTAATCTTCATACGCCTCAGAGAACTCTTTTGGTGGTGGTTCAAGGAACATACGTTTTCCATACACAGCAAAAGGACCCTTCTTCAACACAACATCACGGTCCTCTTCAGTCTTAAACCAAAACATTACATGGCCATTATAGTGTTCATCCAAATTATACCAAACTCCCCAAGTTTTGGCTAATTCATCAATTATTCTCAT